ATTAATTAATAACAATAGAGGTGGAGCAATTTCGGATTCTGCTGGAGCATTTAAGGAGCAATTAATTGGTATACAATTTAATTTAAAAAAATAATGTTCTACGCTAACTTCCTTCTGGTTATTTTTTTAAAAATTAATTATAAATTAATTAATAACAATAGAGGTGGAGCAATTTCGGATTCAGCTGGAGCATTTAAGGAGCAAATAATTGGCATACAGTTTATTTTTAAAAACTATATATTTTCTGTTTTATAGCAAAATTAAATTTTCGATACTTAAATTTTTTGAAAATTATTTATAAATTAACTAATAGCAATAGAGGTGGAGCAAATTCGGATTCTGCTGGAGCATTTAAGGAGCAAATAATTGGCATACAGTTTAATTTTAAAACGTAGATATTTTATGTTTTATAGCAAAATTGAATTGTTGATACTTAAATTTTTTTTAAAATTAATTATAAATTAACTAATTACAATAGAGGTGGAGCAATTTCGGATTCTGCTGGAGCATTTAAGGAGCAATTAATTGGCATACAGTTTAATTTAAAAAAGTAGATATTTTATACTTTATAGCAAAATTAAATTTTTGATACTTAATTTTTTTAAAAATTAATTATAAAATAACTAATAACAATAGAGGTGGAGCAATTTCGGATTCTGCTGGAGCATTTATGGAGCAATTAATTGCTACACAGTTTAGTTAAAAAAAAGAATGTTCTACGCTAACTTCCATCTGGTGATTTTTCGCAGTCTAAATTTTCCGTATTTTCTATTTTCACGTATTTTTCGCCGATTTTCACCATTAAAATCCTCGTCGCCAGTGAGACAAAGGAAAACACGTCCGTACAGGTCAACCATTTATTACGAGAGAGAGAGGTCACAATGGGTCACAAACTACCTTCCTTATGTTAACAATAAGCTTACCCTACATTACAATAATATTGATAATTATAGTGTGTAGGCTATTCTCCTACCTATATAAGACATTATATATTTCTTACATTTATTAATATTATCATATATTTATTTATTAATATTAAATACTATTAATTTTATTTCTATAATATTTATGTATATATATGTTTTCAGTTTATGAGGCTTGTCAGGGTGAAGCTTGAACCTATTACACTGTTTTTGAAATGAGTTTTGAATTAATTACGTTTAAAAATTACGTATGACGAAACGCAAATATGACAATTTGGTCTAGTATTATGAAGTAGACGTCCGGTACTAGATTTTAATTATTTTCAGTTTAGGAAGATTGCAAGGGTTAAGCTTGAACCTTTTACACTGTTTTTGGATGTTGGATTTTTTTTAACTTATTTATTAATCAGTGCTTGGCCACAATCCCACCTGATGGTATGTGATGATGCAGCTTAGATGGTAAATCGCACTGTCTTAGCGTAACAAAAGCCTATTCACTCTTGCATTAAAGACGCCCAGATTGTATTCGGATGGAAAGATAGACGCCGGCAAATTATAAGCGTCAGTAACCTAATGGCAGGGCGCGGATCACGATCTCGAAAGGTCGTAGATTTGAATCCGCCATTCGACTATTGTCGTGAACCACTTCTAACACAACCATTTTAAGCTTACCAGAAGTGGTTTAAGGAAATATTAGTAATGTTTAATAGCATTACTAGTGTTTTACTTTCTAAAAAAAAAATATTCCACTGCTTTATTCAGTCCTGTATGAGAGGTGGAAAAAGCGTGTCAACACAGGAGACAACTCGGGTGCACAGACCTTTAGAACTATAGCTGATATACCATCAGGTCCGATGGTACGCTGTTGCTACTGTCTAGACGCGAATTGCAAGCAAAAAGGGAAGCAAATAAGTCCGCTTTCTCCTTACGCGCATGAGTTAGTGAGCCATCTGGTTTTATCAGCGGTAGCAGTGTAGACCGACAGAAGTTTGTCTCGACCGCGTTGTCGAGAGACCAAAGCTCCACTACCAGCTTTGTACTGATGCGTTTAATGTGGTCGAAACTGGCTTGGCGTTATGCTTTTTTGCAAGACTTGGCGGCTTGGTTAAAGGCTCTCTTCTTAAGGCTAACATCCGGAGCTTTGCTGTCTCGAGCATCGACCCAGGATATATGTTTGTGCTTTTCAGCACGAGTGCACTCGGCGTTGAACCACGAGCGAGCTTTACCACCAATGCCCACGTCAACAAAGGGGATGAAATACTCCATCGTTTGACGTATCACATCGATTATGGCATCCTCGCAGCTTGACGTGACTTCAAACGAGAGGCAGACCTGCCGCCAAGGATAAGATGCAAAGAAATGCCGCATCTCATCTCAATTTGCTGACTTGTATCGCCACACTCGCCGCACACCATGGAAATCGTAGTTATGTGGGTGAATATAACGACACAGATCTCACCAGACAGTTGTCAGAAGTTACCAAGTGTGAGGTAACCTGAATATCGTACCTGTCTGGATCGAATGTCAGCAGAAGGTCGAGGCAGTTGGCTGTGTGCCCATCCACATCAGGTACCCTAGTCGCTTGTTGTACTAGCTGGGAGAGCCCCAGCGACAAGGCAAAATTCCACGCCTCTCTCCCATCGTGGTTGGTCTTCTGGTATGGGAACAGCCAGTCCTGATGACAGGCATTAAAGTCCTCCAGAAAAACAAACTGTGCATTAGGTACCGATTTAGAGCCACATCAGAGGCTTCATTGAGGTATTTAGATAGCCTAGTGGTCTTCTGGTCACCGCTGTGCGATCGGTAGACGCAAGAATAAATAATTTTATCCATTCCTGTGTTTATCAATACTCAGATCGTAGAGAAAGTGGGGTCTTCAAGGTGACGGACACGCTTACAGCAGATGTCGTTGCGCACTTAAACACAAACTCCGGCGCGCTGATGGAGATAATGCTTCAATATGTACCCAGGGTAGCCAAGGTATGCCGCATCTAGAGCACATCTGATCTGCGTCTCAGTCAAGAAGAGTAAGTGCGGCTTGTTAGTATCAAGGTGGTAGTGTACTGCACTGAGATTACAATGCAGGCCTCGGATGTTTGTGAGGTGCAGTTGGATGGAGAGGGAGTGCAACCGCTGTACAAACTTATTCTTCTTTTTCCGTTTTTTCATAAATGGTAGGATTGAATAGGTTGAGAGAATGGCAGTTGAACGAGGCGTCACACATATAACCTAGGGACGCAAACAGAGTCACAGCATCGATGGTACCTAGCATGGCGATCGCGGGGACGCATGAACCCCTGTGGAAATCGCCACCAAGCCCCCTCCTTCGGTTGCCGACCGGAATGGTGGAGCCATTCCAGGAGTTTTCGTAAGATGGCGGGGCAGCCTTTCATAAGTGACTGGCTTATTAATTGGACCCCCAACTATCTACGGTCGGTCAGCGGTGCAACCGTGCTTCGAATCCCGCTAACCACCATAACCAGGCACCTGACACGAAGAAACGGCCGCGTCGTAACTGGTTCGTATGCGCAACGCAACTGTCCAGACTCATTCTCACCTATCATCATACCGGAACACGATTTGGATCATTTGGCGGTATGTTTTTGCCAGGTGGGTGGTGTCTAAGCCTCGGCCGGGCCTCTCATTAGTAGAAGACCAACCTACCACCAGTATGTAGTGCTGCTCGTTCAGCACTACCCAGGGAATACGTGTAGGGTATGAGGATTCAAGTAATTCCTACGGACGCGAGCAGCTTCATCCCCCAAAAAATGCGCTTTGAATGAACTGCGATAAAAATTAATTTCACTAAAATTGCTTATAAGGAAACGCAAATATGTATTATGCAATAGACGTCAAGTACTTGATTTTAATTATGTTTTCTGTTTAGGAGGTTTGTCAGGGTTAAGCTTGAACCTTTTACTCTGTTTTTGGATTTCGGAAATGTGTTTTGAATTAATTACGGTAAAAATTAATTTTAATATAACGAAACAGGTCACCCATAAAAAAGTTATTTTTCATTTACCTCTATCATAGCAGAGGTCAACCTGATTTTATAGATAAGGTAAGTTGAATCTGTACTAAAAACGAATCAGAACGCCCCGATTCCACGTAGTCTTGTCTGCCCTACCCGTAGTGTTTTTGTAAAGCCGTAGGCGCGGAGGGAGAGAATGGGTGCTTGCGATTTGCTACGCAAGGGCGAAGGGGCTGCACTTACCGCAGCGCCGAAGCTGTTGCAGAAGTAACTTTTGGTCACTATACCTGTGTAAAAAAGTGAGGTTATGATATTACTAAAAAATCATTATTCATAAACTATACTTTCCACAAGGGGGGAAAGTTAGAGGGGCTTCCTCTGAACCTACTTCCACTTTGTAAGATTTTAAATTAGAGAATTCAGTTGTATAACATAAATTATTAAGTGGAATAAAAAGGGAAGATCTTCCTTCGGGCAAGGTGTTCTGCCCGGGGAGCGGCCAATGATCCGTGTGTTATTTTGAAACTGTTCTATATAATGTCACAATTGACCTTACTTGATATTTAAACAAACTGCGATGATGCAAGTCTTTTTTTGTGATTATTTATCTTGTTGAAATCTATTGTAAGTCATTGATAAATCTTATTTTGTATATAAATCGCTTGATTTAAATAATGTCGGATAATTCTTGCTCTTGGGTCGTAATTAACACTTGCCTGTGTTTCCAACGACGACATGTACAGCTGTCTTTAGAACCTCTCAATATCACTCAAAATATCAGGTGTCCCGGAAACGAAATTTCCAAAAAACAAATTTTAAATATTCTAAGTCTAAGAAATGTTCTTTGACCGACAATATGAAACGAGTGATAGGTAAAGTGAGTAAATGAGGTACCTAGAAGGTTGCCTTAAACTGTCTTCAACTGCTGTTCTCTGAGATAACCCGGTATTTCATATTAGGGGTATTATTCTACATTCGATTAGTTTCCACTATAAAGAACTGCCTAAACCAATTTTAGTTAAAGTTTTTAATGTATTGCATTAACATTTTTTTACCTTTCAGGCATATGTGGCTGTGACGAAGAATACAACTTGATGCGACATCTTATGCAAAAATACGATGCTTCAGTAAGGCCTGTTGAGAATTCTTCACAGCCTTTGTTAGTAACGTTTGGTGTTTCCTTGCATCACATCATTGACGTGGTAAGTATTTTTTAAACATTTTTAACCCTGTCTTATTTCCTTATTGATGACCAATGAAGGAGATAAGTACCGAAAATTCAGAGCTCCGGTGACTTGAACCGAAAGTAAATTATAGTGTTTGTTAGTATGAGTACGAACACGAGTTTATGATCGTTGTTTCATTAATTCACTTTGTTGACTTTATAAAGTTGTAGAATATTAAAATGACTAGGTTATACTTTTATTTTATAGCTTCTGAAGAATCACAGCATTTGTGTTGTTAATTGTAATTTCCTTACAAAGTTGTATTAAGTAATAAACCCTTTCTATAGCTTTGAGTTTTAGAGTGTAATAATAATAATGTCCTCCGGACCGAATTTCGGTCACCGAGGCCAGCCTCAACGGAAACTAGCTATCGGCGCAGGACAGGGCTATAGTGCCCAAGTGTATGCGAAATCACAGGTGCACTCTCTATTCCCTAACTCTCATAGTCCGTTGGGATGGTAAACCGACACGAACGGAGAGAGATCAGGCGCAGGACCAACGGCTTTACGTGCTTTCCGAGGCACGGGGATGAGACACCGCCAATTTCCTGACTCCGAGTAGCTACTGAGAATTTCTGAGTATAACTGATTTTTTTCTTGGCCCGATTCGGGATTCGAACCCGAGACCTCAAGATCAGTAATCGCACTACTACAACCACTAGACCAACGAGGCATTCAAATTTAGAGTGTAATGGGTAATGCACAGAACACCTACTCTCTATCGAGAGTGTAATGAGTCCCTACGACAAAAATGAAAGTTTTAATTGAGTTCAAAAAACAAGAATGTTATATTTTCGACGCATATGTTTTCACAATACGTTAACTAATTTGTCGGGAACGTCTTCATCGATTTTTATTATTCTTCCAATAATAAATTAAATTTTATTAGATTAAAATCACCCCGAAGATTGGATTGACACATCTTGTTATATTTCAAACCCAATCAAAAGCGTAAATATTAAACTTAATAAAAGTAAAAGTGAAGTCTGTATTGAGACAGTTTATTGAAGAATTAAAGCCCCAATTTAAAAGATATAATATCAAAGTCATTTTATTCCTAAACTGCTTTTTTTAAGTTTAATTTTTTTTACCACTTACTCTGCGGTGAAGGAAAACATTCGGTTTTAGAGTCTTGCAGAACAAAGCGAGACAAAGTCACTTACAGTTGCACTTGATAATATTGAGCAAAGAGCGGTCCGATACATTGACGACTGAAGTCTCCCTGTTCGTCTGATCGATTGGCCTTGCGAAAAGACATTGCATATCTTTATATTATATATACAAAATGCATTTTATTGAATTTACTTTGGGGTGTACCCTGAGCAATTGTTTGAATGATTCCTACTGCTATATTTTACCATCACTTTTTGCGACAAAATTCTCAATACACTTGTCTGGGATGTGCGTAGACACTTGCGGCCTCACATTTCGAGAGTACTTCGATTAAGGATAGGGCGGCACGAGAGGCGATTAAACTGAATAAATGGCGCAAATGTGAGTCGCTGAGAGGTGGGAATATTTTTATGCCATTTGTTGTAGGTACTATCGATTCGAGGGATTCATGCTCGGTGAAATACCATAGGAACTGTATCCGCAATTAGTCCGTTATATTATCCGCAATTATCATTGGTGGTTCTTATTTTTTATTGTCCATAGTTCAACCAATTATTATCGCGCGGAATTTAAACTTTTTTTTACATAATAATCATCATACATTTAGACCAGAAACGATTTATTAGTTGTAGATCATTTAAATATTATATATACCAAGATATATATTTATTTATTTCCATCTACTATATATATACATACAACATACGCACCCTGAGGACTGACGAGAAGATCGTGGAGCTGGAAAAAGAGATAGACAAGTTACGCTGGCATATTATAGAATTATCCGAGGTCCAAAGAGAGGGGGAGGACACGGTAATCCTCGAATCCGGCAACTTGCTCTATCACCGGGAGGGCGGTCCCAAGGAGGTGTCGAATTTATCGTCCACAAGTCTCTCGTTAACAATGTTGTAAAGATTGAGAGTGTGTCGACGAGGGTTGCGTACCTTATACTTAGAATCACCAAACGGTATTCGCTAAAGGTCATACAGATTTACGCATCAACCTCGGCACCACCCGATGAGGAGGTGGAGGAAATATATGAGGATATCTCAAGAGCCATGCATTCCTCCAAAACCCAATATACGGTGTTAATGGGAGAGTTCAATGCAAAACTAGGCACAAGAGAAAACGGTGAGCTGAAAGCAGGGAAATTTGGAATAGGGCAACGGAATCCAAGGGGCCAGCAGCTGGCCGACTTCATGGAGAAAGAGGGACTCTTTCAACGCTCCGTCCCCCTCGTGCTCTGTTCCAAAGTCCCGAAACCTTTCAGCTCGAGTTACAAAACCGTATTCAGTGCCTAGAAGACTGCAATGAAATGGACGATATGAAAGACAAGCTCGTGGAAACTGTCCATGCGGTCGGAGCTAAGTTCTCCAAGACCCGCCGCAGAAGAACACAAAAAATCTCTGATCACACTCTCAATCTCATGGCTGTTAGACGGGAGATGAAGCTACATTCTTCAACAGATTTGACAGCATACAGGCAACTGAACAGACAGATCTCCAAATGCATGCGGCAGGACTTACGCAACTTCAATACAGCTTGTATTGAAGAAGCGATCGAGCGGAACCAAGGCTCCAATGTCTTTGCCAGAGATCTGTCTGCCAGAAAGAGCCAACTGTCAAAGCTGAAGACCGCGTGTGGCAGCATCGTTTCCGGGGCACCTGAGATTTTGAGTGAGATTGAGAAGTTCTATGGGCAGCTGTACACGTCATCGTTGGAGCCACACGCAAGTGTGAGTAACGATCCAAGAGCGAGTCTTATCCGACACTATTTCGAAGATATCCCGGACGTCAGTCTGAGCGAGATTAGAATGGCTCTCCAGCACCTTAAAAACGGCAAGGCCCCAGGCGAGTATGGAATTATAGCGGAGCTTCTAAAAGCGGGTGGAAAACCGGTACTTGAAGTCCTTCAGAAGCTCTTTAATTCCGTCCTCCATGGTGGTATTACACCGGAGGCGTGGAGCAGAAGTGCGGTGGTCTTGTTCTTCAAGAAAGGTGACAACGCTGTCTTGAAGAACTACAGACCGATTTCCTTCGGAGCCGCGTCTACGTGCTGTTTTAGAGAGTCATTACGAATCGCCTCGCGCGCAGTCTTAACGACTTCCAGCCTCTCGAACAAGCCGGTTTCCGAAAGGGCTTTAGCACCATAGACCACATACATAGCCTTCGGCAAATTGTACAGAAGTCCGAAGAGTACAATTTGCCACTATATCTGGCGTATGTGGACAATGAGAAAGCCTTTGATTCCATCGAAATTTGGGCGGTGCTGCAGTCCCTTCAGCGGTGCCAAGTTGACTGTCAGTATATCGAAGTGCTGAAGTGTTTGTACAGTAGAGCTACGATGGCTATACGAGTACAGAACCAGAGTACGAAACCTATCCAATTGCAGAGAGGTGTAAGACAGGATGATGTTATATCCCCGAAACTCTTCACCGCTGCATTGAAAGACGTTTTCAAGTTTCTGAACTGGAAAGGATACGGTATTAACATCAATGGCGAGTACATCACTCACCTTCGATTTGCCGACAATATAGTCATTATGGCAGAATCGCTGGAGGACGTAAGCAGTGTTCAATGACCTCAATAGTGTCTCCCAACGAATAGGTCTTAGGATGAACATGGACAAAACAAAGATCATGTTTAATGTCCATGTTACATCTATGCCGGTAGTTGTTGGGAGCACTAAGCTCGAAGTTATTGACGAGTATGTTTACCTGGGACAAATAGTCCGACTAGGTAAGTCCAACTTCGACCGAGAGGTCAATCGACGGATTCAACTCGGCTGGGCAGCGTTCGGGAAACTACGACACATCTTCTCGTCAGGCATACCTCAAAACCTTAAAACGAAATTGTACAACCAGTGCGTGTTGCCAGTGATGACTTACGGATCTGAGACTGGTCCTTCACTGCTAGCCGTATGAGGAAGCTCAAGGCCGTTCAGCGAGCTATGGAGAGGGCTATGCTCGGGGTTCCTCTGCGTGATAAACTTAGAAATGAGTATATCCGTAGTAAAACCAGAGTAACCGACATAGCCCAACGGATTAGTAAGCTGAAGTGGCACTGGGCCGGCCATATAGCTCGAAGAACCGACAACCGATGGGGAAGAAAGGTTCTTGAGTGGCAGCCTCGTACCGGTAGGCGAAGTGTTGGGCGTCCTCCTACTAGACGGAGTGAAGACCTGGTAAGACAATTGCAAGAAGTCGATGGATGCATGGATGCAGGGGGTGGTGGCAGGACCGTGCTTTATGGCATTCCTTGGGGGAGGCCTATGTTCAGCAGTGGACTTATGAACACAAAAGAAATGCATTAGAGCTATTGGTGGAATCGCACCGGATAAATCCTGCAAACCGAAATTTAGGAGCCTAGGTTTGTTGCCACTACCATCTCTCTATATCTACGAAGTTTGTAATTTCTTACATAAACATAACAATCTGTTTACAAAGCCATATGATATGAACATAAAAGTAAAAAGAAATGCAAATAGACTTGTATTAGATGATGTAGCGCGATCAAACAAATATAGTAAAAGCTGTTTAATCATGTGTATTCGCATTTATAATAAAATACCAAATGACATCAAATCGTATAATAATAATTTATTTAGACAAAAATTGTTGATTTATCTCAATGAAAATCAATTTTATGACATCAGAGACCTATTTGTTAAAAATGTAATTAATATTTTTATGAGTTAACTATCTTTATTTATTTATGATTTTATTTGTTTTAGTCTAATTGTTCTGTGTTTTGATTAGAAAAATATCATTTGTATGTGCTATTTATGTAAATTTGCATACTATTTACAACCACATAGCAAAACATTTCGTGCTTTAAAAATTGTATCATCCTTATCTGTCCATGTTTTAAGCAAATATATCTAATAAATAAATAAATGAATCTAATAAATAAATAAATATTAAATATAAATGTATGCATTTTAAGATATCCATATTTAGGTATTAATGATGAGTGGCACATTAGTATTTGAATACTTAATATTCGACGCTCCGGGAAGTCTGCAGTCTGTGAACACGTACAGGATCGCCCCCGTCACTACATTAGATTTGATAGACCACAAATCCTCGCTAAAGAACACCGATTCCTTCCAAGGATGATTCGCGAGGCTATTGAAATCAAAAAACATCCTAATTTCAATAGAGAAGATGGCTGGGTGCTACCATCTGCTTGGGATCCATTAATTAATAAAATTAAATCCCAACCCAAGCATACAACTGCAAGACTTCATGATACTGTAAGTTCATACTGCGTAGATCGGAACAAAAATTAATAATTTTTAATCTGGAGGTAGCCGTGGTTAACTATGACAGTGGGACGTCATACACCTCAGTCCCCCCCGTGACCATGGGTGCTGGAAAATGCTCGAAACATTGGGAATATAAGTTAACTAGCTTTGCCCCGCGTATATCACGTGTCTGCGCCTTGCGACATGCGAACTTCGAGAGAGACACTACGACGGACGGTTGCTGAATTAACAAAGATTTAAAAAATGAAATATGTTACTAAAATTACATGTAACGTAATTGGTGGTTATGCATGATACAGGTACTGATACGAATAATGTGGCCTATTTTGTATCGGCGTTACTATTTGACATTTTAACATGAAAAAGTAGTTATTATGTCACAACTGTAATATTTAAACATATGGTTTCGCAGACTTTTTTGTAGATATTGATATCTTCTATAAAACTGAAGTACATTACTTTGCTCTATTAGCAATAGTTTCCGCAGCGTACGCGATATAAGGATCCTTTTTGGTATTTTTTTCACACCTTGGGTTACATTAACGAAGTTTTCTTACGGATCCCTAAGTTTTTTGAAAATATTATATAGCCTATGTTCATGAGGGATAATGTAGGATTCTAATGGTGAAAGAATTTTTCAAATCGGTCCAGTAGTTTCGGAGCCTATTCGATTCAAACAAACAAACAAACAAATCTTTCCTCTTTATAATAGTAACATAGTGTAAGAAGTGTAGATATACGCGATAAAATCCGTAAAAATAGTTTTAGTTAATTGTGTAGTGTTCGCGTAAATATAAGAAATCATTATACTTAATATTGTCAAAATTCACTCAATGATATAATCTCGTAGGTCAACGTATGGAATACAATGGTTGCTTCAACAATGCGTAAGTATATTTATTCGAAATGGAATGATCCCTTGTCACATAAATCTTTTATAACCGTTCGTCTCGATATCCTCTATTAAGATTGTTAAATGTATTTCATTTTGCTCCGAAGGGCTTAAAAATGCTGTTGTAAAGTAATGCCTGTATACATCCCACAGCTGGTCATAAGCCTCTTCACATTTCAGAGTGGGTTGTGGAGCAATTAATCCGCCATGCTTCTCCAGAGAGTAATAGAGGACTTCACATATCCTCGTAAAATTGTGTTTCTGAGAATCATTTTTAGGGTTCCGTACCCGAAGAGTAACCAACGTGACCCTATTACTAAGCCTCCGCTATCCGCCAGTCTGTCTGTCAGCGGGCTATATCTCATGATCCGTAATAGATAGACAGTTGAAATTTTCACAAAATGTGTATTTCTGTATCCGCTATAACAACAAACAATAAAAATAAAATAAATAAAAATTAAACGGGGCTCTTCTTCTAGAAACGTGTTTTACGATAGTACGGAACCCTTCAGGCGCGAGTCTATATTTTCTATTATATGTATATTTTCCTTCAACACCTAGCACAATGTAAATTAGCACATAAGGCGCTGCGCATACGTGAACACTTTTTGTTCCCGACACGGCACACATCACAGGAAACCGTAGTCGCTGTGTTCGGTAGCTGCAATCGGACGCAGTCGCCGGTTGCTACTTCTGGTCACTGGTAATAATTCGATGCTTGTTTTCCGACAGTTTCACGATGGATGTCGATGAAGAAATATTACTTTTGCTTGTTGTGGGTTATACGTCGATGTAGACGTCGTGGCCGTCAATATTTACAGGCCAATCAAGCACGTCAATGTTAGCGCCGTACAATTCTTAAGAATTGTGTCGTCAACTGATGACTTAAAGTTTCCAGTTACCTACACCGAACACTTTTTGATTGGCGGTCAGTATGTGTCAAGTGGAAGCAACTGAACACAAAAAGTGTCTGCGCCTGCGAAAGGAATCTCTGATTTCATATTGATTACATGTAAATACAATATTCATTGGTAGCTTGTATCCTATACAAGACACAAAAGTGTCTAGGTTGCGCAGCGCGTTGCTGGCTTCTGAGAAATCTAAGTGAGCACTTAGCTGCTGAGCTACCACGGCTCTTATATACTATATTAATTCTTCTGTATGTATGATAATTCTAACACTAAATATTTGAGTGTTGGAGGGAAAATGTTTACTTTTGTCCAAATTGTAAACCTCACGTACTTGTGCTATACTCTGCTATTTTACATAAGTGGCTTCGACGACCAATATATGATAAAAAGTCTGATCAAAAATGCTGAAGTGGTAGCGTAGGCACAACCACTTCTTGAAAAGAAATACTTGAAAAGGTTTTGAACAGCTTTTCAAGCCTACTACTGGCAACAAGTAAGGCTGACGAAGATTTTTACATATATAATAAACAGATGTTCATGATTAATGTTCATGGTCAATAATTTATCAGAATTTACAAGGGTACTATACCATGCTTGTATGACTTTAAGGTCGTGATGAAAATCATATCAGTTTTTTTTTACTAAATTTTTTACAGATATCAAAATAGTTTCAACATAGAGAGTTATAAAATAACATTTTGAAGACCATAAAATAACTTGAAAGTGAGTAACACAAAATAGTTTTCGGCCAATCCATCGCTTGTCGTGGTGTATATGGCAAGTCCGCTATGTGACGGTGGATATACGTATCCAATAGTGGACTGTCAACAACAACTGATAAAATCAATAAGGTTCCGTGGTACAGTGGCTTAGCAATTGAGTTGCAGAGCTAAGGGCCGCGGGTACGAATCCCGCACGGAACAAGTATTTGTATGGACTACAAATAATTGTCTGGAGTCTGGATGTTTGTCCTTGTGCAATTTATATTTGTAAACTGCTCCCACGATACAGGCTTAAATGTATCGTAGGGTGGACTATCCTAATGTGGAGGTTACGTTAAAAAAAGTTAATGATAATTCGATTTTTTTTATTGCTGTTAATGTTGTATTATGTTGTGATATGATATGAATAAAAAATAAAAGGGGATAGAGTGAACTTCTTAATTTTTATCTGGATATCAGCTCGTCATCAAAGTCTTATCCTTTGTAGTTTAATTTTTTTTGGCTTTTACGAAATAATATAGATGCATAAGCTTTGTAAAAAATCATTTATTTTCGTGTAGGAAGAAAAAGACCAACTTCTTACGACCAACTGTTGGATCACTCAGATTTGGACGGATTACCATCTAAGGTGGAACACCAGCGAGTTTGATGGCATAAGTGTTATAAGAATACCTTACGAAAGGGTTTGGAGGCCGGATATAATTTTATATAATAAGTAAGTACTTAATCCTAAACATTAAATAAATTCAAACGAACTTAAAAATTAATTAAATACGTATTTACGTTGTTAGTTAATGTAAATTAATTATATTATGTAACTAAATATCGAACATAATATGACATGCTTTTTTTAATTTTTTGTAATTATGGCTAAGACAATTACAAACTAAGAGCAGCATTAAATTAGCGTTTACGATTATTGTTAATTTACGAGGCAGTGTATACCATTGTTGACTTGATTATTGATATATTTTCAGCTAAAATAGGAAACTTTTCTACTCTTTTATTTAACAGGAACTTTGTCTCGGTAGCTTGATCTTTTATGCAGAATTCTTTGCAATTCCTCCTCTTTAATCCCCAGAAAAATATAATTGGATTCGTCAATTCAAAGCATTGAATGCCACACGCGGAGCGGAACTCGATATTTCACCCATTTTTATTAATTTAATGATCTGAGTGTGATCAGATTTGCAAAAAGTTTTATGAATTTTTTGTTCAGTCTGAGATTTATCCGAAATTTTTAGCTTATGAAGTCAACGATAAATTAATATTGAAGAAATTTTTTCATTTTTTATTCGTTAATTTTAGTGCTGATCCTAACTACAAATCAGCAGTTATAAATACAAATGTAATAGTGAAGAATACAGGTGAAGTGACGTGGTTAAGCCACGGCATATATGTGTCAGCCTGCGATATCAATGTCGAGCAGTTCCCTTTTGATATCCAGTTTTGCACGATGAAATGGGCTTCTTGGACATATGATGGATTTCAGGTAACAAATTATGTCTATTCAATGTATGATATAATAATTTATTAAAAAAATATTGCAAACAACTTTCTAATTATTATAATCGAAGTACACTTACGTAAGGAAAGTAAAATATAATAAAGATTTTATTTATATCAGCACCAATATATTATTATGTACATGAAAATTTATGTAGATGTACGCATGTCACAGAATGTAATAAGTACAGTTGATTTGGAGTTTTATTAATCTCGTACATCCCTCAATTTGGCCGTTACCATATTCTCCGAAATTGACTTTACAATAACTAGATTATTCAAAACAAGGATAGCTGAATGTTTTTGATTCACCGCTACGGAGTTACCGCAGTAATAAGTAGGTATTATTAGTAATATTATATTTTTAGAAAACTTTAAAGTAATGAACGTTAGATTATGTCATTTATTTTTTTCTTATTATAAATTAACGATTACTCGATGTACGATTATACGATGTATAAATTAATAATACATTTGTCAGGAATGATTTGCCAAAAACCTAATCAAGTTCTTATATTTGTAAAGAGTACACCAACAAATAGTTGGCGACTTTAAAGTTTCAAAAAAAAAATGAATGACGAAAGTTTATTTAACCAAATATTCATTTTTGTAATTCAATGTGCTTCCTCACCGTACATAAAGTTTCCTGTCATTTATTTTCCAGCATCTTGCATTGTTGTCAGTTGCTAGATCGTAAATCCAGTTTGTATAACATTTTGGCTTAATAATATTTTAGGAGAACTTAATGATATGTTTGTTTGTAAATTTCCTCAAAATAAATCTTGGGAGCTACGACTTTTGACAGCAAAAATATAACTAAAGTAAAGAGAATAAATAAGATTGAGTCTTTTCTTCAGAAATAATTTAAATTATTAAGCTACTCTAATAATAGGCGTGGCATGAAGATATTCATTGTAGAAAACACAAACTCATCTATATAAATTCCGAATTTACCCCGTTTATGTGACGTATAATTCACCATTTTTAATATTAAGATTTGTAAATTATTTATATTTATTTATTTAAAACCTGCAATATGTAACGTAATTTATTAAAGCAACAAAAATTGCTGGAAAGTTTTATATACATAAATATATTCGTCGTACCATCATGTGTGGCATATTATTCCACAACAAAGGAGGGAAATGATCTGTCAGCATCAGTATTTTGATTCGATTACGCCATTAGCATAGGCAGCGTTATTCTAAAATGCAATTATTTTCCTACATTTACTTACGGTGGGACTTACACAACATCAATACAGCTCGTATGAAATCCTCCTCTTCCCCCCGGATCCCGCAAGCGTTTAGACGTGTGCTCTTGATAAAGAGTAATTGTGTTCTGTGGACGTGCGTTTCCGTGGAAAGTTATTTCAAAAATAATTTCAAAATCTATTTTAAATTTGCAAAATAATTCTGTAAAAGTGTCGCTAAGTACCAGGCGACCATAACGCTCGAGTACTAGTTGGTGCTACGCAAGTACGAGACAACGCAACTGAGACAACAACAGACTGCAAGGTACGCTGCGCGTACGTCACCGCCTTACCACTTCGTAATCAACTCTGTCGATTGCCCTAACTCATAAGCGGTAGCGAGTGCGGCTATAAACTCCTACTTTCCTGTGGTCTCCTGATACAATCAACCATGAACAAGTCTATGTCCGAATCGAATTTGTCTAATGAACCTATTGTTACTCCCCCAAATTTCGTCTTTGGACGTGCCAAAAAAAGGAAGGAACAGGATAGTCCTGCTGATCTGGACCAATCTACCCCCAGCTGTAAATTGAGAGATTTTTGTGCTTTTAAGGAAGAAATGCGGGATATGTTTGCCTTCTTGCTTGCTGCATAGCAGCAAGAATTTAATAAAATAAATCCGAGGTTGAAGCAAATTCAAGAAACTAATACCAAAATTGAAACGTCTATAGAACATTTGCACAAAGAGAACGCAGAATTAAAAAAGAAATTGAGAACTTGAAACAACAATAAAAAAGAAGACACCAAATACATCACTACCCTCGAAGATAAAATTGAGACCTTACAAAAAGGGTTTAGAAAAGCAAACTTCGAGATTAAAAATGTTCCTAAAATAGAAAAAGAGACAAAAGATGATCTGACTAAACTGGTCACCTGCTTATCCACCACTGTGGGGGCTAGCATTACAAAATCGGATATCAATTCCCCCCCCCCCCCATCAACATGGTAGCAGAATTACGTCATAAACTACCCCAGGAGGGTACCAGTACCCCTGGAGAATCCCTCGCTGAGCATCCACGACCATGCTATTCCACTCCTGAGCGTGGGTGCTCAGGCTGCCCCGCGTATTCTGGGGGGGGGGGGGGGGCAAAATTCCGCTCAACACAATAACTGCTCGGGGCAAACTGAGCAACAAGACCAAGGCGACCCCTGCCATGCTATCCGTGAATTTCTGCAACATCAGGGGACTTTACTCGAACCTAAACGCCGTCCACTACCATCTTGAGACGGCGAAGCCGGCCTTGCTCTTTCTGACCGAGACGCAGGTGTCCTCGAAGTAACCAGTTGTGTCAGACCATATGCCTTGGCATATGGTCTGACACAACTGGTTACTTCGCCTACGCGGATTCCAGATGTTGAGGATCATACACCTTCCCTGTTGAACCTTCTGCTGACCTCTCATCCGGACGGATATCAGGTTTCCGTCGATGCCCCTCTTGGCTCTTCGGACCATTGTCTGATCCGGAGTGTGGTGCCACTCACGCTCCCCTCGCGGTTGCGTTTTGCAGGTTGCCGCCGTGTTTGGCATTACAGGTCGGCGGATTGGGACGGAATGCGGTCTTTCTTTGCTTCCTACCCATGGGGGCGGGTTTGCTTCTCGCCGGATGATCCCAGCGCTGTTGCTGACTCTGTCACTGATGTAGTGCTACAGGGAATGGAACTATTTATTCCATCATCTGTGGTACCCATCGGAGGCAGATCTCAGCCTTGGTTTGGTCGCTCCGGTAAGACTGCATTACGCAGTAAGCAGGAGTGTTGTCAAGCCTGGGCTGCGGCTTCGGTGAGTCGGGATGTAAACACCAGCACACTCAAAAAGAAGTATAACTTCGCCTCCAGGTCCTTCAAAAGAGTTATTGCCAAGGCAATGTCAGAGCACATAGGCAGAATTGGCGAGAAACTAGTTCGCCTTCCTTCGGGAACCCGTGCATTCTGGTCTCTCGCCAAGGCTGTCCAAGTGAATTTCTGTAAGCCATCACTACCATCTCTGCACAGGGAGGACGACTCACAGGCCTACGACGCAAAAGAGAAGGCCGACCTTTTAGGCTCCCTTTTTGCGTCCAACTCGACTGTTGATGACGGGGGGAACACACCGCCGACCATCCCGCGGTGTGAGTGCTCCATGCCGGATGTGCGATTCTCACAGCGCTCGGTTCTCCCTTGACATCCACAAGTCGAGTGGGCCTGACGGAATCCCCCCAATTGTGCTGAGGACGTGTGCTCCGGAGTTGGCACCGGTTCTAACGCGTCTTTTCCGGTACTCCTACTCCCTAGGCGTAGTCCCGAAATCATGGAAGACAGCTTTTGTCCACCCGATCCCTAAAAAAGGCGACCGCTCAGATCCGTCCAACTACAGGCCTATCGCCATCACCCCCTTGTTCTCCAAAATAATGGAATCCGTTGTAAACTGCCACCTCATGCGGTACCTTGAGGATCACCAGCTGATTAGTGACCGCCAGTACGGTTTTCGTCGGGGTCGATCAGCTGGTGATCTTCTGGTCTACTTAACTCATAGATGGGCGTTGGCAGTAGAGTCCAAGGGGGAGGCATTGGCCGTTAGTTTGGACATTGCGAAGGCCTTCGATCGGGTTTGGCACAAAGCGCTTCTTTCGAAGCTCCCTTCCTATGGGCTTCCCGAGAAATTATGCAATTGGATCACCAGCTTTCTTGCAGATCGGAGCATCAAGGTCGTTGTAGACGGTGCATGCTCCGACTACAAGCCTATTAACGCTGGTGTTCCACAAGGCTGCGTGCTATCACCAACGCTGTTTCTTCTGCATATCAATGATATGTTGCAAGCTGGTAGCATTCATTGCTATGCGGATGACAGCACTGGTGATGCTCTATACACCGGCCGTGCCAATATTTCTCGGGAAAACGTCACCGAGTACCGGAACAAACTTGTGTCTGAAGTCGAGTCTTTGCTGGACAAAGTCTCGGATTGGGGGCGACTAAATCTAGTCCAGTTTAATCCTCAGAAGACACAAATTTGCGCGTTTACCGCTAAAAAGAACCCCTTTGTCGTATCTCCTCAGTTTCAAGGTACTCCCCTTGTTGCCTCAGCCAGTATCGGAATCCTCGGCGTCGACATATCGAGTAGCGTGCAGTTTCGTGGTCACTTGGAAGAGAAGGCCAAATTGGCCTCTAAAAAGCTTGGCGTGCTCAGCAGAGCGAGAGTGTATTTCATGCCGGCTCAACGCCTGCAACTTTACAAGGCGCAGGTTCGGCCTCACATGGAATACTGTTCCCATCTCTGGGCTGGGGCTCCCCAGTGCCAGCTTCTTCCACTTGACCGCATCCAGCGCAGAGCGGCTCGAATCGTCGACGACCGAGCCCTTTCCGATCGGCTCGACTCATTGGCACTGCGAAGAGATGTTGCATCTCTTAGCATTTTCTTTCGCATTTACCATGGGGAGTGCTCTGAGGAATTGTTCGGATTAATCCCAGCCGCCAAATTTCACGAACGCACATCGCGGCAGAACTCCCGATACCATCCACACCATCTGGATGATTGGCGGTCCACCACTGTGCGATTTAGAAGATGTTTTCTTCCTCGCACAACTTCCTTGTGGAATAGTTTACCACCAGCGATTTTTCCGGACCGATACGACTTAGGGACCTTCAAGAAAAGAGCCTACTCCTTTTTAAAAGGCCGGCAACGCATCTGCAATTCCCCTGGTGTTGCGGTTGTTCATGGGTGGCGGTAGTCACTTACCATCAGGTGAGCCGCATGCTCGTTTGCCCCCGCTCCTATAAAAAAAAAATCAAGGACATATATAGAGTTCGAGGGAAAACAGAGAGTGTTGCTAATGCAACTATTGTTGTAGAAATGAATTCTACCCTGCTAAAGACCGACATAATTACTAAAAGTAAGGCCTTCAATAGAAGTAACAAAGAAAAACTTCGAGCAAAAACACCTGGGATTTGTGAAGAATGAAGAAACCTCTGTTTTTATGTCCAAGCAACTGACACCCAGAGCTTCACACCTGTATTTTCTTGCGCGGGATATAACTATATCCTCTGTATAATATATATTCTGCTGGACTGCCTACGGTAATGTATATGTTAGAAAGAACGAGAACTCTCCGATAGTGACAATCACTACAGACATCTCATACGCAGATGACACAGCCATAGTATTTAATGGTACATCCTGGAAATCTGTTTTTGCGGCTGCCGAGCACGGTCTCCACAGTGTTGCAATGTGGCTCAAATCCGCTCTTCTTACCCTGAACATCGCCAAAACTAACTTTATTTGCTTCTCAATCGATAAGCGTACTTTACCGCCCCCAAATCTGACATTAAGAATTCACACCTGTGACATTACTTGTAATGGGCATTGTGGGTGCGATGAGGTTGAGCGTGTTAAATGTACTAAATACCAATACAATAGTTTACTGGCTCGAGACGCTAGGGTACCAAGACGTGGAGTACTTTTTATTTAAATACGAATCGTAGACAATACAAATTTTAATGATTTATCAACACACATGCAGTCATTCTCAGAAACATGCACACACACTCTCTCTCTCTCTCCCTCTCACACACACACCCACACATGCATGCACATACTCATACACACACACATACATTTGACATAAAATATAGTGGTTATTAACCGATCCCAAGATTTTTTATCGCAGTTTTGGCACAATGTAATATCTGAAATTTATCATTCATTTAGTATTCTAGCCCTTGATCGGATCGCCAGTAGTTAACTTTTCTTATCTGGATGAAACTTTATAGTGCATATTATTGAACAGCAAACAAATATATTTATAATATTTTACATAGCAACACCTGAATATGAAATGATAATGCGGAGAGGTTCGACGCCGCGACTCAAAGTAATAAGCGGATTTGTTGATACGCTCCATTGGAAATCTATATTTTCGCATGAAACTCATTTACTCCAGGATATCGTATTAATATAAGTGAAATTCGATAAAAATGTGTAGAGTTTTATAATATTTTACGTTTAGGTATATAGTATATTGTATTGTGTGTATTAATTTCTGTTTTCAACCGATTTTAAAAAAAAGGAGTCAGTTCTCAATTCGAGTGTTATTTTTAATATTATTTTTATATGTGTCACCTCTGAACTTTTTTCCACGTGAACCGATTTAGATGATTCTTTTTTGATTTGCAAGCTAGTGCTTCTCATGTGGTCTCATATAAATTTAGTAAAATTCTGTTAGTAGTTTTTAAGTTATCCTCAATAATGCGTATTGAGTTTTTGGAGAAAATTCTGGTCTTTTGAGACTAGCCGAGCGGCAACATGTTTTATACCCAAGTGATTATTTGTAATGGTATGTATCGACTCGTGAGACACAGAAAGTACGGCGGCTGTCTCTCTCAGACTTGGATGAGGATTTCCAGTCACTATTTCCTTCACTTTTGTGATGTTAACTTCAGTTGCAGACGTAGATAGCTTATCAGAGCGAGACAAATCTTCGATCACATCTCGACCGCTTTTGAACGCTTTGTATCACTTACAAGCACGTGTTTTGATAAAATCGATTGAGCCTTCTGTAACATTTTCAGTGACTCCGAACACGAAATTCCATTGGCGATGCAAACTTTAAGACAAACTCTTTGTTCGATCCATTGTGATATTCGCAATACACATCAGATATAATATAACTAAAAACAGAACTGTATTTAATCTAAATAACCAATATAACTCAACTTTGTGCCAAAATGGAAACCAGTTGTGCCGATCTAACAACAATAAAAAAATTAATTTGGAACCATAAACAAATCATCCGTTCCCGATAATTTTTTGTTTGAATGTATTAAAACAATATAAAAATACAGAATGGTGTTATCTTACAATAATCGGAATCCTTAGTTATTATTTTGTTATTTAAATTACCACGAATTTTTTGTTTTATAGCTGGATTTAATAAAACAGTTCGATGAAGGTGACACAACAAACTATCAAACAAACGGTGAGTTCGACTTAGTGAGCTTTGAAGCCGTTCGACACATTCAGTACTACTCTTGCTGTGTGGAGCCTTACCCTGACATCACTTACGTCATCAAATTGCGGAGGAGACCGATGTTCTATGTTTTCAATCTTATATTACCATGTCTACTCATAAATGGAATAGGTAAGTAAATTTCAATTATTAAAGACTATTTTCTTCTTTATCAATCCGGAAAAAGCATTTGTTATAATCGCCATTATTGGCGGTTTAGCGATTGCAATACCCGATTTTTGCAATTTAGGCGCTAGTTTGGATATTTCAAATCTGTTCTTTACGAGAAGGCATAAACGTGTGGTAGTGATGTAAGAATATGCATCACCCTATATCGTCCCGTGGGTGTCGTAAGAGGCGACAAAGAAATAAATAAAAATCTCAGCCACGGGGAACTTTATTTTTGTATACGCGGCAACACTGAATGGCGTCATTCATATTTTGTAACTTATTTCTGGCTCGTGTTATTTTATGTTGAAATTTCGAAACTGTATGATACTTACTGATAGTATTATTTTTACACAGTTTCACTATTATGTAAAAAATTTAATAAAACATTCGGTACGTCCACATCAATTGTAGCCTGCAAGTTTCAGGCGACATTTGATGTGAAGCCGAAATGGCCGCCGATTGCGGCGTAGTATTTGTTGCCGCATTTTACAAGAGCGCCGGCGGTCTAGTCGGAGCACGCGATGACTTTCAATAATCTAAGGTTAAAGTTTTCCCGTCAAGAAAACTATAACCTGACTGAATATGAAAGTGAAACAGTTAAACTATTTCGTTTATACAACTGTAGTTTTTAATATGTATGATGTGTTATATTTTATCGTATGAATGGCTCAAGATTGAAATATCGTCACCTTTTATGATAATATTTTCTGACTAGGACCGCTCGCGTATTTTGAAATTCGGCGAGTAGGTACGAAGCTCGTAGGATTTTTCTGAAAGCACTGTATTCGTGACACATATAATTTTTTCTTTCCTTAGCTCTCCTAGTATTCTACGTGCCGTCGGAGTCAGGAGAAAAAGTGACACTAGGAATAAGCGCTTTACTATCAATGACCGTATTCTTGATGACCATCAGGGATACACTGCCGCCAACTGAAAAAACACCATTGATAAGTAAGGATTAACAAGTGGTAAATATAAATATTTTACACAACCGACTTCAATATAAATTATTAAAGATAACACAAAAACTACTGGTCACATCTTGATCAAATTTACATGACCACCTAGAAAAAAGTTATGACATTAAAAACTACAGTCAAATTGAGTACCTCCTCCTTTTTGAAGTCGGTTAAAATACAGCTCAAAAGCATACAGAGAAAACATCTGCAACACCAGAGGAATTGAAGGCGAAGTGCTGGCTTTGGAGGAAGGAGTATTTCTTTACTCTATTCTTTGAAGTTATAACGGAGTGGAAAAATTGTTAGTGATACATATCACAAATTATGTCTAAAATATTTCGTGATAGATGTTTATTTATATTCCCTCCATCCATCCATTACAGCCTATAAAAGTTCTCTTCTGAAGACAGGCCTCCCCTAAAGATTTATATTGGTAGAGATTAATTGTTGGAGAAATTTCCAAAGCAGGGAGCAGAGATTTTAATTGGCTTCGTTGTGAAAACATGCTTGTAATTGATACGGCTATTATAAATGCTTCGATTTTGAATTAATACAATATTAAACTGAATGAAAATATGCTACAGAGGTTTATAAACGAGTGTACTAGATTACTATAGAGTACGCTGGCGATATTGTAGTGACTAAAGTGTGCGTGCAAACAGAAATGTTTCCGAAAGTCTATGCGCAAACAAAAGATCCTAACCTACCGATGTCAAGCTTTTTAAAAAGATCGGAGATATACTTATTGAAACACCAATGTATTTTTGTGCAAATTTTGGCTTTGGCTGCGATTCGGACTCACCACTTGGCCTTTCGCGGTACTGGATAATAAATTACTTACTTAATAATAATTTATTTAAAAAAATACAATAAATATTTCAAATTTTCTGTAATATTTATTTTTCGATATTATTTCTTGTAATTTTAGTAATAATTAAATAAAAAAATTGTTGTCCATCATCATGGACAAAATCAAACAAATGAACTCATAAAAAAATCATCAAAGCTGTGCATATGCAAACCTTAGATAAAAATATTTTCCTAATACATTTGGGTATTTATAGTGCATATAGTAATAAGTAACCAGCATTATATTATTATACATGCATTTGTATAATGTTGTTCAGATTATAAAATAATTAAAGATTACGCCTTCTAAATCTTCTCTAGTATAAATTCGTCCTTGCCATCCGTGTCTGAATTTGACTTTAGTGTCACAAAATTTTTCTTAAGTTTACTTTTAAAAAAATATCAAAATGAAAAAAATTATGTCATAACCGAATTCCATATTAATTTCTAACATTTTCCTTACAGGCCTATATTATGGCGTCAGTACGTGTTTAGTATCGTTCTCAGCATCGCTCTCGGTGGTAACTCTAAATATATCTTACAGGCGAGTTTATTTTTGTAAATCCTTTTCTTAATATTTCACAATTTACAATACACTTAGAAAGAAATAAGAGAATAAATAAGGTAAATAAATATTTATTTTTGAATTTATTTTATCGAGTTGAGTACCAACTAAATGAATTCATTTTTCAATTTGTTAAACTTAGTTTTATATAATATGTGTAATTAAATTATAACTTATTTTTTAATTGTAATGGTTTGTAAAACAATAATGTACTAGTTTCCATAGAAGTTCACACAGGAAGCTGTTATATATGAATAACTGAGAGTCTAATAAATTATTAATATTATTATTAATTAATTGATTACTTTTATTTTTTATATTTTTCTACGCAGCTATGAAATAAGAAATTGTCTAAGCTTAACAATCAGTTAGTTAATCTTTCTGTAAATTTTTAAAAGATAAAAACAAATGCGCGAATCTGTGCTGTTGTTCGTAGAGGAGTGAGAGGGCAACCTGTGCCGGCGGTGCTACGCGAGTTAGTGCTACAGCGGCTCGCTCGCATGCTTTTCATCAACTTTGATACTGACACAAAGGTAAAGTGCCCTAAGCAATAGATTTTTAATTTCTGTTCATAATACAGCGTCAACATTTGAGCAAAAACTACAATTTGTTGGTTTTATCGTATGGTTTTGTTGTGATTATCTCCGAGTCTCTGACATTATAGTCTAACCTACCTCTTCCCTGTATACCTAAAATTTGCATACGCGTTACACCGGACACGTTGGATAACGCCTGTATTTATTAAGAGCTACCTCGGCATTTGAAAATAAATATAAAAAGTAAAAATAACTTAAAAAATACCCTGAGAAAGCATTACTTGTATCTATGTCCTCGTATACCGATTAAGAACTTCATTTTACTTCTTACTTAATTTTTTATATTTATATCTTATTTTTTTATTTATTTTTTACCTTCTACGAGATTGATATGTTTTGTTGATTTTACTTTTAATTTTTTTGTTCTCTATATGTCAGATTAAAGAAGGACTAATATAAATACATAAATAAACATTGTATTCACGAGAGCTGCGGCCAACAAACTGTGTTCAAACTTTGACACATTGTGTTGTATATACGTATACTTCATATTGGAAACAAAATAAATAAAAATTAGAACAATAAGTGTTGGGTTAATTTTTAATTTTTTGCGTAATTTATAGATCATTAAAGGAGGAAGTATGAATATTTGAAATAATTGTCTCCTTAAAAGCTTTTTTTACTAGGGTGACATCACTGCGGTGTCAACTGCCGGCATGCAAGTGAACCCGCGCACCGGTTCACGACTCAAGACGGAGACGAGCTGCGATGGTTCCACTCTGCCCCCCGCTTCACCGCGCTTTAATCGTCCTAACCACAATCATCTTAGTATGTACATTGTGTATATCAGTTAAAATTTCTCAAAAATATTCGAAGTTAAGTAACAGGGAAAGGCTGTGTGTATAAGGTCTAATGTTAATTTTAGGGAAATTATGCCAGCTTGTCCTCCCTACTTTTGAAATCAAATTACACAGACTTGTTATGAACAGAGTTATTACCACCGCGAAAATGACAATTTGTGCTCAAGCTCTGTTATTGTGGTGAGTATGGACAAATCTCTCAAAGGAATTTTATTCAGTGATCATAAATACGCTATTTATGTGAACCGAATGTTATTTTAGCATTAAAAAAAACCTGAAATTTCATTATTATAACAATTTTCGTTATTAGTCGATGTAGGTAGACCCTATAATATGCTTATTGGTACGAGAATGCTGCTTAAGAAAATAGTTATCTGTAGTTTGTTACATAGTTTAAGAAAATGATAGTAATTTGGGTCGGAACTCGACAAAATCTGTAGAAATTGACATAATGCATAAACCGTTGTCTAGTTAACAACTATCGTAAACGTAACATTCCTCAAATATGTCATAAAATTATTAGATTTATATATTTTTTGTAAGCATTTTTTGTATCCACAAACTGTAGCTGTAGCGAAAATATTTTTTTTGATATAACTGTATATATTAGCAAATTATTATCTGTTTCCTTTTTCTATAATTCATTTCGTAAAATGTAAATGCCATCAAAAACATAACTTGTAAAAAAAAAACCAAGTCTCGCAACTCAGTTCTTCTACCGTAAGAAATTGTGAGATCCATGTAATACCAAGTCGGTTAATTTATTCAGTCCCTACTTAAGAGGCCTTCTGTCTCAAGTTATTACGTAATTAGCTAACCTAACAATATCTTATAGTGACCATATAAATAATCAAAATCTTTTATGTTTTAAATACATAGATTGCCTTGGCCATCGCATGAAAAGACAATGTATCTCACAAGTAATACATATTTTATTAAATCAGATTGTTTAGTGCGATTGCCAAGTCAATCTATGTATTTAAAACATAAAAGATTTTGAATATTTATATGGTATTTTAAATTTGAAGCTTCTACGTCTGCTAGAAGTACCTTAGAGTTTTGATGATCGGTCAGTCAGTGAGTGACAAAATTAAGAAATTTTGACTAGTTATAATTCATAAACTACTGGTTCAAATTTAATTAAATTTGAAATATACCATGTTTATACAATGCGTGCTCGTTTGATGAAAATTCAGGCTTCTAGTCTAATTCACAACGAAGTTATAGGGGGTCGAAAATGGCCTGAATTGCTTCGAGAAAAGGATGGTACGGCCGTGCCGCTTTTTTGCTCGACTTGGCGGGTGCACTGCCGTGCCCCCAGATGTGGTGCTTATTTGTAAAAAGATGAACACTTAAACACGAGAATTGGAACCTTATTTATTAGTAACAAGTCATTCCATCACAGTCCTCATGTGTAACACGGTATTTCCATATGGATTATTTATCGAGGATAGTTATAAAATGTCTATGGGTCACAGCATTACTTACTATCATGTGAGCTGTGTTCTCGTTTTTTTCCAAACTTATATAAAAAAGTTACGCTTTTAATACTGTCAACACCGATGTACTATTGGGCCTGCTACATTTAATTAACTTGCTAATTTAACCTTCGTCCGGCCTGCCCACGATTTAGCTGCTTTTTGATATCGAAACGTTCTCTTGGTGGTTTTAATTAAAAACAACTTTTTTATTTTCTAATGTTTTAAACGCTGTCAGAATTCAGTAGATTTACACTTTGATCATTTTTAAAAACTGAAGTGACAAACGTAGTTACAGTCCAGCTGATGGTAAGTGCTACCGTCCGTGCTACGGGTCCGTGGACATTTGCAGCTTCAAACAACGAAGGCTGTATGTGCATGCATTGTCACCTCTGAGAACTAACATGGATTAGCTTACATGCTCTTTGGATTAGCTACTTCAGACGGGCATACAGCAGGGCAACACTACTATTTGTTGGCAGAAATAATCTCTATATACAAAAATCTATTGCTGTCCGTTAGTCTCGTTAAAACTCGAAAACAGCTCGACCGATTTTGAATCAATTTTTGGTGTGTATTTGAGCGAGTCTCTAGATGGCTTAGATTCACATTTAGACCCAGCAGCTGGCGCTGTTGACGAGATTCATAAACACCCGTGCGAAGTCTGGGCGGATTGCTTGTATAATATATAGATTGTGAAAGCATAGCCCCGGTTGAGCTGACGCGTATTCATATAACGACGTGTATCTTATCAAGGCACTTGCAATGGTTCGTCCTTAAAAATCGTAAGGATAAAAATTAAATATGAGGTTACTGCTAAATGAAAAAGTGGAGCGTTTTAATTCTAAAGGTCGTACGGGGCCAAGCGCTAACGCTGCTACAATACCACCCGTGAACACCGAGGTGGTTTGTATGGCAGCGTGTTCCCGCTGCGTGTGTTGCGGCTGCACGCTGCGAGAGGCAACAGCCAGGCACGAACAGCGCGTTGCTGCCAGCGAGCGACTTGAACGCGCCAACCTTGAGTGGAGACAGGTAATATTGCTTACGCCTAGCATTTAGTCTACCCTTTGTATGATTACTTTTAAGAGCAATGCAATGAAAATTTTATAAATAAATAAATACGGTTGAATAATTACTTAACATTTATTTCTGTTATTTATTTATTTTTATTAAATGTAAAGTTACAGCTTTTATACGTCTCACTCTCACTGCTGGGTACAGGTCTCCTTTGATTGCTAAGGGGTATATTGAGAAATTAGTCCAAAACACTGGTTCCAGGCGTGTTGACGGACCTTATATGTCCTTGAAATATTTTTTTTAGACAAGTACATTGTTTTTGTGATGTTTTTCATCACCACCGAGTACTTGATAAATCAGCACTTAAAATTAACAATTAACAATATTATTGGTGATATTGTTGTAAGTAATAATAATTTTTTATTAAAAAATTAAAATGGCTAATACTCGGGGATCCACGGTATGTACCCTAATGTGAACAGTTATGATTAAAGGCAATATGAGCAGGGATGCGCGCGTACTGTACTGTTCGTATGTTAGGCGCTGGCAGAATAACAGCGTTGTAGGTACTGCAACATTTATGCTGAGCTAGAGCCCATTCATTACTACATTATATAATTCTTGTAATTTCTGTATGCACTCATTTTAACTTTATTGGTGGTAATGAATAAATGCTTATTATTATTATTATTATTATTGGGCATCGAAATCGGGTTGCTCGCCTACTGTAAAATTTACAGCGGGTGTTTTTAAGGCTTTGAGCTACAAAGGCTCTTGTTATTTTTTATTGTTATAACTTATTTACTATTTTTGGTTAATTAAGTAACATATTTATTGACAAAATAATTATAATTATTGTAGTAATGTATTGTAGAATTGAACTACATAAAATATGAAAATAAATTAGAAATTAACTTAAGAAACGTATAAAATTATATACGCATCTAAAATTTTTTGCAACCAACAACATGTTTTAGTTGCATATGTGTGCATGAGTGCCTGTTTTTACAATAAATTGAGCAATGTAATCAGTGTTGTAACTTTCTCTGTTGGTCTGAGGTGACGGGATAATCATTAAAATTAAGTCAGCCTGGAGTATTAAAAACGGGAGCGTGAAAAGCGCAGCGCAAGGTTTAGTCTCAATCTCCTTAGGCAAATGCCTGAATGTACGCTGTACGTACATCCCGCCCCACCGCACGCTCGTTACTCACATTCTAGACTATACGTGGTAGAGCCATGCTGCAGCTATATTATGGTTGTAGCACAAATGGGTCGGCTCGACCGGGGAAGGACCACGCTCTCACAGAATACCAGCGTAAAATAGCAGCTTAACGCTGTTGTGTTTCGTATGGTGAGTGTAGAGTACCGGAGACCCTTTTTACTGGAAACGAGGCATTCCATCTTAGTCCTCACGGGTGACAACGCATCTGCATTTTGATTCGTATTCGAAGATAGATGTAGATGTCTATGGGCCACGGCAACCACCTACCATCAGGTGGAATGTGTGCTCGTTTGTCACCCTTATCCTATAAAAAAAATAACCTAATTAAGAATAGACAAATTGTTTACATGTTTCCTTAGAATTTGAAATTCGTAGGGCTTAGCGAGTGCTATAAAAGTATAGCGAGTTATATTAATTTCGAATATAGAAACATGCTCGATGAATTTAAGCTATTTATAAGTTTATAAATTAAGTCGGCTGTTATTTTCTATATTTATACTTGTTCACTAGGTTGCCGTTGTCGCTGACCGAGCCTTACTCGCTGTTTTCGTGTTGGTCACGACTATCGCTACAGCTGCCATCTTGCTTCCTCAGATACAGAACTTACACGTAGGAAATACGCCACTTAAACCGCCATCTTAGAAGAATTTATAAAACAATGTTTGTATTAATACATTTAGCCAACGAATAAAAGATTGTGAGAGGCCATAAAATAAAGAAGAAGGGAAGTGGCTTTTAATTTGGAAAATGTTTTCTTTTGATCTCATTTACGTTTTAATTTTTTGAATATGTTATGATCTCTTTTTTAAAAAATCGAATAAATAATTACTGTGAGCAATTATTATATCCCAAGTATAAATATACTTAAACAATAATAGGTAAGCTATTGTTTTGCTCAAAAAGAAATTTACCATTCGTTAACATATAACAGCCAGGTCCGCTTAGATACGTGTTATTTTTTATTAATGAACGAATTTAATTACGTTAAGTGCATTTATAATATTATGTTAGCAGGTTATCGATCCATCTAGTAATGGACCTACCCGACCCCCGAAGGATGCAGGCGGCTCAGAATCGTGTTTTATAGCATTCCTTTGGGAAACCTTTTTCAGCTGTGAACTTGTGAAGGGTTGTAATGATGATGAGTATGATGATATATTTAGTTAATATATTTTGTACCTGAAGTAAATGCTAAAGTGAAGAACCTAAAGCTTCATGTAATAAACAAACTTTGCTAATAAAATTATTAATTTGTTGTATAAATGTATAATTTATAATTTTAAATATTTATTATATTAAATATTTAAGATATTTAGGTTGTTATAGGCATTGATTACTTACATGACTAGAATCCTATTATAGAAAATATATAAGTTCATGGCTCAGCGTTTGTCGTTCTATATGACTGCGCTAATCTTGAGTTTAAACGAATTTGCATGCAGTTTTCATTGCTATGATCTGTATGCTTTTCTCCAGGGAGATTTATATGTGTTAAAAATTACCCTAGGCCTGATATGATAGCAGTTGAAAATTAATGGTATTATTAGTGATTAGTAAATCTAGTTAGGAAAAAGTTTTGCTACTTGTAACTTCACAGTGGTATATTTATTAAACATATCACTGTAAAAACATAATTTTATCCGGGCCGGGTCCCTAGTTATTGATAATCGTTTTTTTTGATTACGTGAACGATTTAATAAAATAAGTTAAAAAGGTATTGATTTCTGTGAAATAAATTTAAAATCGATTTTTTTATCTTTTGATCAGCCATGTGTTTTACCAAACAATACATTTTATAATTAGCCTTTGAATTGGAATATGACCTGTTTGTATTTGAATGGTATAAATCGTTATAAATGATTGCCTGTGTAAATAGACAATGATAATATCCTATTCCAAACATTATTAGATACGCAGTGAAATGTGATTATTAAATTAAATAATTTCCGTTGAATTATTGATAGTCACAATTGAACAATAGAAATAATAATTTAATGTATAAATTTGTCAACTAAATTTGTGCAGTTAATATACGTCATATTGATATTGTTTTTAATGTTCATCCAACCCACCTAATTCAGCGTAGAGGTTATAAATCTGCTTAATAAAATATGTTCAACTAGTAGCTGCTCAAATTAAACAAATAAGAAATTAAATTCGTTACATAATACCTTTAGCCAAAGCTTTAAATATGTCAATCAAAGATGTGAAATACTGCTTAAAAATTATGTGGTACATAATTAATATCAAAAGTAGTAAGAGCATGCTCAAAACTGTGGCCAAATGTTAAAATTAATGTACATATTATATATATGATGTTAATAATACTTCTTGTTTCGAGGATATGAAATTGTCGTTATGTACGAAAAGAAATAAAATACAATTAACAAGAAAATGTTGCGTTTTATTTATCTAGTAAGTTGCCTGTTGTTAATTTTGATTTACGCCTGACGAAAAATAATTGACGAGACTCCTGGTACTGGCCTGCCGTGTGTGACCATTTAGACAAAATGGAGAAGCCAATGTACTCCAAAGACAAAGAAAAAGAGGAAGAATATTTCAAATTTTAAAACAATAATTGCCCTGTTATATTTAAAATGTATGATTAAAAATTGTAATAGCATAAAACAATGAAAAACATTAATTGGAATGATCTAATAACAAAAAGCTTTTCAATTAACACTGTTCACGGGTTTCGAAATATTCTTGTTGTTACATAGTAGAGTTTATTTGTGTTTTGCTATTTATTGTAATATTTACTTAAGCTAAACAGCACGCGGTGCTGGCGACGGTTCTGAATTGAGTTTGTCGGCTAAATTGCCAATTATTGAGAACCTTCGTTCTCTAATTATTACTAGTTAAGCATTATAATTTATAATGTAATAATTTATAACCTGGTGATTGGTCTGCCATTCGTGGTAAATAAGGCAAATCCTCTCAACTATGGAAGAGGTTCATGTCCAGTTGTGGACTTCTTCGGATATTAGTAATTAGCTCTTTTTATAGATTTCTCTGGATTCTAATGCAAGGAAGCTCCAATTGTAAATAATTTAAAAGATATAGCATGAGCCTCCTAGCGCTACTTTCATTTGTCAACTGACTTCTGATATGAATGGAAAAGTATTAAGTTAATATTGAGCTTACCTTGTTAGCGCATTTTTATTACATTTAAAAATGTCTGATTCCTGAAAAGAATTTACTGAGCGTCATGTGCACGTTTCAGCTCATTGTTATATTATTAGTCTATTAAATAAAATGAAGGCTAAATCAAAACTTTTTATTCAGTTAAGGTTTGTTAAAAGCTCTTATGAACCTAAGAATCTATGAGTATAATATAATAAACTCGCTGTACCCGCGACTTATTTTGCGTGGATGTTCTTAAATTAGCGTCGTTAATTATTTGTAAAATAAATTAACAAACCATGAAGTACAAGTATGGTCGCTTAGATTTATTAATTTATGAATTAATGTCAAATAGAAAGCTCGTCATACGTAACACGAAACCTAATTAAACTTGACTTCTGAAGTCAAAGCTTTACTCATAATTCTTAGAAACTATGTTAGCGTCGACATCAGAAGCTTATGGAAATTATTTCATTTTTCTTAGATATTTGAGGACGGTGGTTATTATTTTATTGAAAGTTTAATTATTTTACGCTTTGAGCGTTCTACAAAATATCAAAAGTTCAAGGTAATAAATAATGTAGTTTAAATAGGTACATTAAAATCTTCCTCCTATTGTTTCACCCTTAGAGATGATATTTTTTAAATTTTTGTGAAGGCATCTGTGGAATATTATGTTATTAATATAATTTAATGAAAATGATTGTCATTTGAATCGATTTCAACGTTTTTGAGAACTCGGTTACATATATAGAAAAACATAGACTGTGAAACATTTAACTGTTTTTTTTTCTGGCACTTTATAAAACTTCATTATTAACGATATTGTCCGACATTGGTGGCATCGCTCCTACGCGATAAGACAATTGACCGAGACTTCGGCCGGGTTCACATTTGATCATCATGGTGTATCGTATCCCTGTCGCGTGACGCAGACGTATATCTGATGTCCCGTTCCGCATACTAGCTCGTATCTAATACAGTATCTAATTCTATGACACACTAATCGTGATCAGAAGTGTGTACGTATTTTTATACTGTATTACGATTTGATATCTATGTGATACAATCTCCAGTTGGTTTTACCCCTACCATCAAAGGCGTTACTACACACCACTACACGATTTTAAAAGTTTAGAGGAGAAATTTGTGAACGTATACACAATCTTATGCCGATATGCATGAAAGGATATGATTAAGTTTGAACGCGTTTTTGATACCATATGGATCAATAATGGTAATCGATACCAAAAGATGATCTAATGTGGACTCAGTCGAAAACAATGAGCATAGTGGTAAGATCCACTATCGCTGTGTGCAACGTCTGTTCCGGTGCTTTTTTAATTGTAATTGCATGGCAGACGCTGACAGGAAATTGCACGCGCTTAAAACGGAAAGGAAAATAGAATGTTATTCGAGAAACAAAGATATAATATTCCTTGCTACATAACCTGTTAGATATCAGGATATCCGCCCCTATTATGCATTACTCTAGTGGACACAGATTTTCAGTTAGTAATAAGCACAATACGTACACACCTCTATAAATGTTCCCTCGGTTTTAGAGCCTTGTGGAATATTTAGAGACGATGGCAAGAGACCCGACGTTATGACATTGGTCCCTTAGGAGAGAGGTAAAGCCCTAGTGTGGGATGCTACTTGCGTAGACACTCTGGCGGCCTCTCATCTCAGGGGTACCTCGTTTAAAGCCGGGGCGGTATCAGAGTCAGCTGAACTGAGTAAGTGGCGCAAATATGAGTCTCTGAGAGATGACTACATATTTGTGCCATTTGCTGTAGAGACCATCGGTCCGTGGGGTCCACGTGCGGTGGAGTTCCTAAAGGAACTCCATCCGCGGCTGGTCGTTGCTGCTGGTGATAAGAGGGCTGGTTCTTTCCTCGCTCAAAGGCTAAGTATAGCCATTCAGCGGGGAAACGCAGCCAGCGTTCTTGGCACGATACCGCGGGGAGTAGGACTATATGATAATTAAGTTTCTAGTTTTAGTTTTTCTTTTTTATTATCGTAGTTTTTAATATTGTAGATAAAATTAAGTATTATTTAATAAGCACACTGATAACATTATGATCCGACCGATAAAGATTATACGATCATCATCATCATCATCATCATTACAGCCCTTCACAAGTCCACTGCTGAACATAGGCCTCCCCCAAAGAATGCCACAAAGCACGGTCCTGAGCCACCTGCATCCATCGACTTCCTGCATATCTTACCAGGTCGTCACTCCATCTAGTGGGGGGACGCCCTACACTTCGCCTGCCGGTACGAGGCTACCACTCGAGAACCTTTCTTCCCCATCGGTTGTCGGTTCTTCGAGCTATATGGCCGGCCCATTGCCACTTCAGCTTACTAATACGTTGGGCTATGTCGGTCACTCTGGTTCTACTGCGGATATCCTCATTCCTAAGTTTATCACGCAGACAAACTCTGAGCATAGCCCTCTCCATAGCTCGCTGAGCGACCTTGAGCTTCCTCATCCGGCCAGCAGTGAAGGACCA